ATGGTTGGGCAACGTGAGCAACTGTATTAAAGGGTCGCGACATTAGAAAGGTTGAGAACCACTGAGTTAAGGAAATATATTTGAAAACATGAACCAAAAAGACATATCTAGTAATTTTCTCATATTAGGTCTAAACTAAATTCATTTGTCATAGGTCTCATATTGATCTAGGGCAAATTTTAAAGCAAAAAGTGACATATTAGATTTCATTATGAACTATTTATAAACATAAATATAAAGAGAGTTTTATGCTATTGATTGAAGGATATGGTGTGTGATTTGTTACTTTTTAAAATTAAGAATGAAGAATAATTATTTTCAATCAATAAATCAAGATAATGGAAAGAAATAATCACAAATAAACAAAAGCTCTATTTTTATGGCCAATGTGTTCAAAGTGGATTATAGATTTTCTTTTTAAGGAATTTATTATCTTCACTGAGACAATAGGCTGTCAAAATTCTCTAGAATCAAATTAACAAGCTAACACCAGCAGCTTAGTAACTCTAGAATATTTAGTTTAGTTGAACAGGTACCATGTGGAATTCATTGTTCCGAATTCTGAACAATGAATAGCTGATAATATCTTAAAACTTCCATAATTTTGTAGTAGGAATGTGTTGGTAATTTTTGATCTGATAATGAACAAATAAATATGAAATTATAAAACCAACAGAATTTTTTAAAAAAACTAAATAAAATAAATTTTGCATGTATATGTACATGCGCGCACGTGCGCGCGCACACACACACACGGAAATGAGAACATTTTTGGAAGATACTAAAAACATAAGATTTTAAATTTATATTCTGAAAGCCTCTGTCTCAGAATTACTGTTCAATAAAGAAAAGTTAGTAAGTTTATAAAAGTTAGATAATTGCCAGTTTTCTGAGTAATCATGTTTGTAAGCCTAGTATTTGCTTAGTTGTGAAGACGTATCTTATATAAGAAGCTGTTTGAACCTTAAAAGCCATACAAATTCTCCTGAATTGCGTTATTTTCAAAAAATAAAATGTCAACTAAATTACAGAGGCATCACTCATGGAATGCTTTAGACTTCAGAGAATTCTGTCATGGATGACAGCATTTCCCAAGCATTTTTTCTCCCAGAAATCAATACATTTAAGAACATAAGCGCTATGGCACTGGATCTGTATAAAGATCCATCAGATTCAGCTTCTGCTTTCCAATAATGGAAACACATAAAAAACAATATGAAGGCATCACCCTTCCCCCGACTTTCTTCCAAATATCTTAACTGCTGTGGTGGATGGGCAATAGAGCATTAATTGATCTGTTCTCCATAGAACTATCAGCACTGATCAAGTGATAGTAGGTGAGACACAGGAGTAAGAGAGCTTGAAAACGGCAATCTTTGAGCACCCCTAGTTACTAGTTCTGACAACTATAATCATCCAGACAGTTCTGAGCATATAAAGATTGGTTGAATGATGGTTGAAAAGAAAAACATTCATTCAACACGTATCAACTATTCATGATGAATTGTGATTTGACTATGTTGAGCTAAGATCTTTAGACAGGAAATCAGTTTACTTCTTTTTTTTTTTTACTCCATTTTATCTCATTTCTATTGTAATCTTTGATGCATTAAACATATTCAAATATGGACAAGCTATCTCTTTCTCAAAATATTTTCAAAAATATTTGTCTCTTTTTAAACCAGGAACTTTTCTGCAGCCTTTGAGAAATAAAGATGGTGATTACTAAGCAATGCTAAGCAACATACCAACCCAGGAAAGCAGTTTATTTTAGAATTCACAGACACTGGATTCATTTGGTTTCTCTACTTGTAAACCTCTATGGTATAACTTCATGGATATTGGAAAATATGAACTGCAGATTAACCCCCCTTTTTCAATACCAATCCAAGGGACAATGAAGAAAGATTGTTTCTGAATGAGAGAACTCGACAAACTCCACATTCACATTTTATGAGCAAAAGTTTCAGAGCAAAGTAGAAACCCTTGTCTAGTTTCGCATTAAGCAAGGAATCATGAATCCTGAGTCTCAAGCTGACATCTCAATCCCTCCTAAATCATTGTAAGGTATGAGCTGTTATCAGAGTTGGCAGGAGTCTGGTAGTAAGCCAGCAGCAGGTTTCAGATTAGTATCTTCCCTTCAAAAGATTACAATATAGTTTATGCTTCAGGTGTTCTGATTAGAATGCAAAGAGGGAGAAAAGCTGCTAGCTCTCTAGCAGGTCAGTCACCTGCTAGAGCTATATTAACAAGATGTTTGTTTATTTATGCAATCAAATTAAAGGAGGAGAAAGAGAAATGTGTGTAACAATTTGAGAATATAGTTCAAGCACTGATTTGAACACTATATTTAATTAGACTTTTGTAGAGTGTCTTTCATTCATATGGATACATATTATTGTAAAAGTAATGAATAGTTCAAATTAGCATACATTAAGGAAATCCTCTAATTGTTCTATTTTTAAAAAATGAAAATATTAAATAATCTGTAATAGAGAAATGGAGCACAAAATGACCCTGCATTTATGATACCTTCAACATCATAAACATACCTGTAACGTCTGATTTTTAGCTCTTTATTATAAAAATTGGGAATTTTCACTGGTCACACTAGGATAAATTGGATATGATGCATGTACAAAAAAAGTAAAGGGGCTTCTGCAACCACTGTCTTGATTTTCTGAATCATCTTGAAGATGTCCCTATGCCCTTTTCTTGAAAACATATGGTATGTTATGTATTTGTTTTCTGTTTTTAGTGTCCTTTAAATTTTAAAACAACATTTTTGTGTATATTAGACTCTTCAGAGACTATGATATAGATTTATTACGATGTGTTATTTTGAGTAAGTTTTGCTATTTTTAAACAGTATTTTGGTCTAAAATATATTTGTCCTATGACTATGTATACTTTGACTGTATTCCTAATATTTGAATGTATTGAGACTTTATGCAAGAATAGGTAGCTAAAAATTAGATCATAACATTTGGCAGATAAATCTAAACTTGATTTTCATTGGTGAATTTCTGATATATACTTTGTCAACATTTTAATTAGTCTTTTTTTTTGACAGAAAGCAAAAAAGGCAACTGAACAATGTGTAAGTTTACTCAGTTGTTTTCCTTATGAAATAAATTTCCAAATTTATTTAAATTTTAAGTCATATTTTTAATATGCCTCAAAAAGCTTATATTTTTTAAACGTTTTAAAATATTGACATTTGTAATGTTTTCTTTTCATCATTATCATGAAATATTCATATTGTAGTCTTTTGAATCAAGGAAAAAAAGAGAAATGACACATCATATGTGCTAACAAACATTATGCCCCCTCTCATCTGTAACGATTAAAATGCCAGTAAAATCATCTGGGATTTTCCTCTTATATTTAAAAAATATAAGGGAGAAAAATTTTCCCTGTGAGTCTCACAATTACTCCTAATGCTAAAATACTGGCTGACAGTTTTTGTTTGCAGTATACATTGGACGTTTTGTTTATCACAATATTATTCTCTCCAAATGCTTGTGAATTGAAAGATGAAAAATAGATCAATATTATTATTGTAATGACATTCCTACTCAAGGGAGATTTAGCTCTATCCACTGCCAAACATAGAAAAATCTATTATGTACCAATGTTCCTTTCTACGTGGCATGACACAGTTCTTGTTTCATTCTTGTGACCAGATCAGCAGTTCTTTTTCTTTGCTGACAGATCACCCGATTTCTTTAGGACAATTGCTAAAAGCGTTGCTATCACTATCAGTTATCTGTTGAGCAATCTTGGTATCGTAAATAATTTCAGTGTTTCTATCTCTATTTCCTGGTTATCAATGAAGAGGTTTTGTTTTATTTAACAAAAAAATAAAATAAATGAAACATAAAGTAATGTTGGTATTGTGATGATAATGTTGTTGATGATGAAGATGCATGAATAGCAGATATGGGACCCCGAGTCATTTGATATATGTTACCAGATAACCTTATGGTCAGAAGACAGTATACATTATCCAAGAGCACAATTCTACTCAAAAGTTTATAAATTCAGTGAACCTTGTGTCTAGATATATAAAGTTTGTCACCAAAGAATACAAAATTGTTCTGCTCATATAATCAGTGTAATATTTCCCTTTAAGATAAGGCCTAAGCCTAAGTAGTTTTAACTGGAAAACTATTTCAACTGAGAAATAAGTTCATTTGGGAAACTGTGAACATCCTAGATCCAAAAACACCAGGGAATTCCTAGAAGCTTGGTAGTCAAATCAGCCATCAAAAGATACATAGAAATAAACAACATTTACACTGTTAAGTGGGGTGAATGAGGACGCAGCAAGCCAGAGTAGTTCGTGACAACAGCTCTTTATTATATGGTGAGACTCCAGCAACTCAACCTGGGAGCCAGCTCCCTTTATATACCTTACAGCAGTAGTGGTCAGCCAATCAGCTGAGGGTCAGTTAATTCAAACTTCCCGCCAAACAAACCTATTTACATAACACTCCTCCCCTCCCAGAAGTCACTTGGGGTGTTATTTACATACAAAGTCTCTCAGGTGACTAGGGCGTGTACGAGTCCTAGTTGACCTGCGCAGTTCAGTCGGAGGGGCGGCGTCGAGCAGGTCGGAGGGACTTTCTGTTTCTCCCTGCTCCGCCAATGAGGCCTCCGGGACCTCCTCGTGGGCGGCGACTTCTCCGGCTGTTTGGACTACTTCGATGGGGCGGCGCTGGATACCAGAATCCTCAGCTAAGTCCTCCGCTCTACTCGGGCTCGTGTTTTGTGCTTCTGGCTGGTAGTCATGGTCAGAAATGGGGTCGTCTAACTTGTCGTCGGTGTCTGTGGTCACCCGTTTTCTAAGCTGGTCAATGTGTCTGCGCCAAACTTTCCCGTCCCCCATATCTACCCTGTATGATTTGGGCCCCGTGATTTCTGTGATTGTCCCGGCTTCCCAGAATGGGCCCTGTCCATAGTTTCTAGCGTGAACCGGTGTTCCTATGGTGAATTCTCTAAGCTTTCTCTCCCCCCCCCTTGAAAACCTCTGGAGAGTAATTGGGGTTGAGCCTATCTAGTATTCCTCGGAGTTTCCGTCCCATTAATAGTTCTGCCGGGTTTCGGCCTGTGGCTGTACAGGGTGTGGAGTGCTGTGCTATTAAAAACTTATCTATCCTTTCCTGCCAGTCTCCGGGGCTTAGACGTGAAAGGGCCTCCTTTGCTGACCTTACAAATCTCTCCGCCTGTCCGTTACTGGCCGGATGAAACGGGGCTGAAAGGACATGTCTGATCCCTAGTCCTGCTAAATAGCCCTCGAATTGTGTCGCGGTGAATTGTGGCCCGTTATCTGACACTAGGATGTCCGGTAACCCATGGGTGGCGAATAACTGTCTCAGCTCCCTGATGGTTGCGTCGGTGGTAGTGGCCTTCATTAGCTTGATCTCCAACCATTTGGAGAATGCGTCTACAACGACCATGAAGGTCTGTCTGTGAAATGGGCCTGCAAAATCAATGTGTATCCTGGACCAGGGTCCCTGGGGCCTTTCCCACTCTCTCACGGGCGCCGTTGGTGGGTCTGATCTGGACTCTTGGCAGGGCTGGCATCTCCCCACCCACTCGGTAATGTCTGTGTCCATGCTGGGCCACCAGACGTAGCTCCTGGCTAGCCCCTTCATTCTTACAATCCCAGGGTGCCCCTCATGCAACAATGTTAAAACCTTTTCCCGTAAACGTAAAGGAATAACAACCCGATCGCCCCATAGCAAACACCCCCCTTGCATTGTCAGCTCGTCCCGTTTTCCCGCGAACAGTTTAAATTCCCCGCTCCCAATCTTTTCCGGCCACCCCCTCATGACCCAACTTGCGACTGTCCGGATCACGTGGTCTTTGGTTGAGGCTCTCGCAACCTCGGCTGATGTTATGGGCCCAGAGTCCAAAACGTCTATCAGCAGGATGGGGATGCCGGGTGTGGGGTCTTCTAGGCCGTCAGGGAGTGGGCATCGGCTGAGTGCGTCCGCATTGCCCATGTCCGCCCCTGGTCGATGTACCAGGCGATAGGAGTATGCTGCGAGGAAGATGGCCCAGCGTGTCATCCTGGGCGATAGTGCTGCCGGGGTTGGTCGATCTCCTGCGAGGAGACCCAGGAGCGGTCGATGGTTGGTGATTAGTTCAAAATCCCTCCCGAACAAGTACTCGTGGAATTTCTTTACTCCTGAAACGGCGGCGAGGGCCTCCTTGTCGAGCTGGCTATAATTTCGCTCGGCGCTTGATAGAGTCCGGGAGTAGTACGCAATGGGCGCTTCTAGGCCATTCGGGAGTCTGTGGCTCAGGACGGCTCCCACCCCGAATGGGGACGCGTCACATGCTAGAACAAGGGGAAGCGTTGCATTGTATTGTATTAAAAAGCTTTCAGCTGATAACAGTTTTTTGATGCCGGCGAATGCCCTGTCTTCAGCCTTCCCCCATTTCCATGTGGCTTTCTTGGTTAACAGTCTATGTAGGGGTTCTGCCACTGTTGCCTTGTCTTTAAGGAAGATGGCGTAAAAGTTTAATAGTCCCAGGAAGGCCTGTAACTCTGCCTTGTCTTTGGGGGTGGGTGCTTCTCTGATTGCCCTGATCTTGCTTTCTGTGGGGTGTATGCCGGTGCCATCTACCCTGTACCCTAGGAATTCGACTGAGGGAACTGCGATCATGCATTTATTTCGTTTTACTCTGAGTCCTGCGTCCCTGAATTTCCTTAGGACTCCCCTCAGTCTTTCTCTTAATTGCTGCTCATTGTCGGCGGTAATGAGCACGTCATCAAAATAGGGCACCACCCTGGGGATCCCTTGTAGTAGCCGCTCCATGGTACTTTGGAAAAGTCCGGGGGCTACGCTTACTCCGAATTGCAAACGGTTGCACTTGAAGGCCCCTCTGTGGGTTACGATAGTCTGTGCCTCTGCGGTAGCGCCATCTACCGGCAGTTGCTGGTACGCCTGCGCAAGATCGAGTTTTGCGAAGATCTTGCCGGGGCCCAGGGAATGCAATAAATGGTGAACAATGGGCACTGGATAGGCGCTCTGCTGCAGGGCCTTATTAATTGTGCATTTATAATCAGCGCATATGCGCACTGATCCGTCCGGCTTTACCGGCGTCACAATTGGGGTCTCCCAATTGGCGTGGTCGACTGGAACAAGCACCCCTTGTTTGATTAATTTGTCCAGTTCAATGTCAATTTTGGGCTTCAGGGCGAACGGTACCCGCCTAGGCTTTAAGCGGATGGGTGCAATATTGGGGTTGAGGTTAAATGAAATCGGGGTCCCCACATACTTGCCCAGCCTTTCGTCGAACACGTCTTGGAACTCCTGCATCAGGTCTTCCTTCAGGGTGCTTCTGACGTTTCTCACTCCGGTGAATCCCATGCCTAGGGCTCTAAACCAGTCCATGCCCAGGAGGCTTGGGAGGTTGTCGCTGACTATGGTGAGGGGCAGTTTCTCGGTAAACTCCCCGTACTGTACTTGGAACTCGCCTCTTCCTTCGACGGGTATGCGGTTCCCCTGGTAGTCCTTCAATCTGCGTTGCTGTGGCTGGAGCTGTCGCTTGCGTGCGCTGGGGATGATTTTCTTTAGGTTTTCCCACGACATGATGGATATTGGTGATCCCGTGTCGATCTCCATCTGGCACTCCCGTCCCTCGATCTCGACCGTGGTGTAGGTCTTTTCTCCGGGCGAGGTGCAGGTCTCTGCGATGCGGATGGTGTAGGCCCCAGCGTCTTCAAATTTCGCGCCCTTCTGGTTTCCGCCATCTCTGTTGGGCCTTCGGTGTGGTGCCGGCTCTGATTGGAAGGGTTGGCCACGTGGTTTGTAGCTCTGGTGTGCCTTGGATCTGCAGACCCGAGCGATGTGGCCCCTTTTTTCACAGGAACGGCAAATGGCGTCCCTGAACTTACAGTTTTGACGTGAGTGGGACCCTCCGCAGCTGGCGCATCCATATCTGGGCTCCCTGCGGGCCGTGCAGGACTGCTCGGTGCGGTAGACTTCTTCTTCAGACTCCCCTTCGCTCGTGGTGCTCGTGGCCTCTCGGTGCACTGGTGCTGTCTTTTGCGTTGTTCTGGTTACGTGGGAGCTCTTTAGTCTTTCTGCAGCCTTTGTTGATGACTCTTGTGCCCTGGCCTCGTCTAGCGCGATGAGTAGGGTCAGGTTTGACCTCGCAAGCAGCCTTCGCTGGAGTCGGCTATCTCTCACTCCGAAAATTAGTTGCTCTAGGAGCATCTCATCCAGGTCTCGGTACTCACATTGGGTTGCGGCCTTACACAGGGCAGCGATGTACTCGCTGATCGATTCGCCCTCCTGCTGTAGCCGTTGCCGGAAATCATAGCGTTGGACGTACTTCGATGGCGTTGGTGCATAGTGGTCTTTCAGCAGAGTCTGTAGCGTCGACCAGGAAATGTTGTGGACCGAATTCGGCTCTGACAATGCTTCGGCTGTGTCGAAGACCCTTGGCCCACAGTGGCTCAGGAACAGGGCTTTCTTCCGAACGTCCGGTAGCCCCTGCATGTCGTTTGCCACCATGAAGCACTCGAACCGAGACATGTAGGATCCCCACTTCTCTTCCTTGGGGTCGAAAGGCGCTGGCGGGGTGTAGGCAGACATCGTTTTGGGGATTCTCCTGTGCTCCGCTCGCTCGCCTTGCTGGATTCGGTTGCGGTCTCCGGTCCCCTCTCTGAACGTGGCTTCAGCTCTTTTCTGCTTCTGGCCTCAAAATCCCACCTTCATCGCCAATGTTAAGTGGGGTGAATGAGGACGCAGCAAGCCAGAGTAGTTCGTGACAACAGCTCTTTATTATATGGTGAGACTCCAGCAACTCAACCTGGGAGCCAGCTCCCTTTATATACCTTACAGCAGTAGTGGTCAGCCAATCAGCTGAGGGTCAGTTAATTCAAACTTCCCGCCAAACAAACCTATTTACATAACATACACCCCTTTCAAAAGAATCAATAAAAAAGTTAAAAAGGAAACAAAATTACCAGAACACCTCCATGCCAGCAAACAACACTCAAATAAGCAGGAATTAAATCAGAGAAATGATCAAGCAATAAACAGTCGAGTCAAGGAATTATCAAGGAGAAAACAAACTGCTACAAATGATGACGGCAAAAACCAACTGTATATAAACAGAGAGCAAATTTCACTCTCTTCTCTCAATTTAGATGCTATCTAGTGTGATAAAGAGAACATCAAGAGTCCATAGTTTTAAGAGTTTCATTTTGGCTTTGTAAACTAGATGAAGACCTAGAGCCTTCATTTGTACACCACAAGAAAAATTCTGAAGGTTAATCTTGAAGCCAAGCCATTTGATAAATTTATCATTCAATATTTTGTGCCAGTTCCCAAAATAGATAAATCCAATAAAATTATATATGTTTATGAATATAATTATAGTCAAACAGACGTACAGCAGAAATATTAGAAGAATTGATCAAATCAAACCTGATACTTGGATTTATTAATATATTTGCTTAAATAATTTGATTCTATATTTTTTTAAAAAAAGTTTTACCCAAACATTACAACATCTGTATTATATGGATACAGTTTCAAGAATGGAACTACCATCAGCCATCTCCTCCACGTGGATGACATCAAGCTGAGATTGAGCTAGAGATCAACTTGCTAATGTACCTGACATGAATCTATAGTAACAATATTGTGATCCAGATCCAGAAGCACAGGCAGATACTTTCCAATCAACTAAACTTAAAGTGATGGCCCAGTGCCTGGAGGCTGTACGGATCTGGATGGGGAGGAACAGACTCAGACTCAACCCATCCAAGACCGAGTGGCTGTGGTTTCCGATGTCCCGATATAGTCAGTTGGTGCCATCACTGACTATTGGGGATGAGTCATTGCCCCCCACAGAGAGGGTTCGCAACTTAGGCGTCCTCTTGGACTCACGGCTGTCTTTAAAAGAACACTTGACGGCTGTGGCCGGGAGGTCTTTTTATCAGGTTCGCCTGATTCGCCAGTTGCGTCCCTTTCTGGATCGGGACTCGTTAAATACGGTCACTCATGCCCTCGTCACTTCATGCCTGGACTACTGTAATGCTCTCTACATGGGGCTCCCCTTGAGGAGCACCCGGAGGCTCCAGCTGGTCCAGAATGCGGCCGCGCGGGTAGTTATGGGAGCAGCATGGCGCTCCCATGTGGCTCCCCTCCTGCGCAAGCTGCACTGGCTCCCTGTGGTCTTCCGGGTGCGCTTCAAGGTCTTAGTTACCACCTTTAGAGCACTCCATGGCTTAGGATCGGGGTACTTACGAGACCGCCTTCTGCCACCAATAGCCTCTCACCGCCCAGTACGCTCCCATAGAGAGGGGCTTCTCAGGGTGCCGTCAGCCAAACAGTGTCGACTGGCGGCCCCCAGGGGGAGAGCCTTTTCTGTGGGGGCACCCACCATCTGGAACGAGCTCCCCCCAGAGATACAGAAGATTCCGGATCTGCGCACTTTCCGCCGTGCCCTCAAAACATTCCTGTTTCAGCAGGCCGGCCTGGCCTAACTTTCCCTTTATATTGCTTTCGATTTTATTTTAAACTGGGATGTCTTGAATTATCTAGGACCAGAGTGTTTAGTATATTTTAATTGGTTTTTGTTTAATTAACATTTGTATTACATGTATTTTTTATCGTTCGCTGTTCACCGCCCTGAGTCCCTCAGGAATAGGGCGGTATATAAATTTAATAAATAAATAAATAAATAAATAAACTAGACATTATCCTAGGAAACAGGGACCAAAAGACAGCAATGGTGATAGATGTAGCAGTGCCAAATAGTAGCAACATTAGGATGAATAGAATAGAATAGCAGAATTGGAAGGGACCTTGGTGGTCTTCTAGTCCAACCCCCTGCTTAGTCAAGAAACCCTACACCACATCAGACAAATGGTTATCCAATCTCTTCCAGTGATGGAGCATTTACAACTTCTGGAGGCAAGTTGTTCCACTGGTTAATTGTTCTGTCAGGAAATTTCTCCTTAATTCTAAGTTGCTTCTCTCCTTGATTAGTTTCAACCCGTTGCTTCTTGTTCTACCCTCAGGTGCTTTGGAGAATAGCTTGACTCCCTCTTCTTTGTGGCAGCCCCTGAGATATTGGAACACTGTTATCATGTCACCCCTAGTCTTTCTTTTTATCAGGCTATACATACCCAGTTCCAGAAAGAGAGAAACAAAGAACATAAGAAGCTGGAAAAGTACCAGAGTCGAAGAAGGAACTAGAGAACAGAAAGTAAAGGATAAAGTGGACCCACTGATATTGGAACACTTGTTGGAAAAGCTGGGAGAATGGCTCAACATCAGGAACATACTGCACTGAACCTTCAGACTGGCAGACCTCTGGGGAAGATCTGAGATTGAGGAGGCTATATCACCCATAAGGGTAAAAATAAATGTCAGATTCATAAGTAACTTTATCCTTCATAAATGGAATTGTTAAACACTTAAAATCTAAATTATAACTTGCTATTTGGGATCTTTTGACCATAATAAATTGAAATCAAATTGGATAATAAAGTCCATAGTTGTACTATGTGCTTAAATAACAACTATTTTCTTCTACCTCTTGCCTGATGCATCAGTTCTGTTCTGATAGAATATCAGTTTCTGATAGTGTAATAAAAGAAAATATTTTTTAACTTTCTATATCATTAGTTTCTTCGGATATCTTTATCATGTTTCCTCTTGCCCATCTTTCTGACTAAATAGCCACAAACAGCATAATCAAATTAGTTATTTTCTGAAGTTTCATTAGATCTTCTGCTTGTTTGTAACGTAATGACCAGTAGTGTAATCAGAAGACTAACCATTATCAGTGATCATTTCCTAAGCAAATCACACCATATAAATAGAAAGTTATAGGTTCACAACACCTCTAGTTTTTTGTTAACTTCATTGTTCTACTTCCCAAATATTGCAAAATTAAACAATATAGAAGCATAACATTAATTTAAATCAGAATCTTGCCTATGAAATTGTTGCATACAATATTATGTGACAAATCAGACCAATAGTGTAACTAAATTTAATAAGAATCTATATTGTTCTGAATTTGACAAATTGGTTAAAATTCACATAGAAGTTGCATAAAATACATATATAAAGAAAAGAAGAAACAGAAATAATTACATTGGATAAAACTATTTGCATAATATTTTTCAAATATTAGGAAAATATAAAATATTAAACCAACTGCAAAAATGTACGTTTGGAGACACACACACAACCTATACAAAGCATTAATATTCCAAATGATAAAAAATCTCAAGCTTCTCTTGACAGATATATTAATTCCTATCAGTACAATTGAACAGAAGTATTGGACAGATACTTTATATTCTTTTGAGCTCAGGTGGCAATTTATCAATTGGAATAATCGCTCAATTCAACCGTATAATTGAATAATTGTAAATATCTCTTGATAAGAACAAATTCTGTGCTGGTTAATCTTGTAGAAAGGACCTCTCTCCACAGAATAAAATATTTTACAGAATAAAAAAAGAACCAGAATAGAATATTTCCCCTAAAGGAGAAGAAGAGAAAAAACAAAGGCAGAAAGCAGCCCCAGTCTTTCCTCCACTAAAACAGCCTGCAGGCAAAGCTTTAAGAAACTAAGTTTCATTCACAAAACAATTTTACATTGTAAAATGGTTTTGGCTAAAGCAATCTCCAAATAGACAGAATATACCAAGAACTGAAACTGATTAGGCAAACAAGATTAAATCAAAACAACAAAACACCTTAAGATTTGCATCTCCCCTCACCTCTTGGGCCAGTCATAACCCCACACATCACAAAGGGAATTTCACAGCACCAATTAAAACACAAACAAACCAAGAAAGAACACATTTTCATACAGATGATGACATATAAATCACAAAAGGTTCAAAAACTCACTTGCTCACAACCCCAATTTGCCAGCTGCACCCAGGAATATATGCTGTTGTCACTGTTGTTACTGCTCCAATAAACAGAAACCTCCTTTCCAACTGCAACCAGCCTCAAAATTATTTTTCCTTTCCCTGCATTTTCTCTCCCAGCTTGGAATAAGATATGGACTGGATTTAACTTCCAACAATCTGTGATGGTAGAATTTTTATATTTAAGTTGCTATATAATTTTTTTTGATAAATATCCACAAATAACCCACCAGTTAGCATATGACATGAAAACATTTCTAAGGGGAAGAGGGTTTTTTTAGTTATTGTGAATGAAACATATTGCAAAACAACTGAGTCATTGTCACAGCTATATGACAGTTCTGTCAACCAACTCCATCATTTTATGAAGAGATTATGATTCCCGAGGCCCAAAGCATAGTCCTCTGTCTAATCATTTGTCAAACTCCATGACTTTAGTCATGACAGATCATAAATTGATTTTATGATCAGGTGATCAGGAAGCATTAACTTCTGAGTTAAAAGAACAGGATTTTCGAAAAAGATTATAAATAAGCTTGAAGAGAAGAACAAAACAATAATCTTAGCACATTGCTACTGTTTCTCAATTAAGCAAGTGAACTGAAAATTAATTATGGTGATAAAATAGGCAGTTTCAAAAAAATATTTTTGATTTTAAAGAAAAATCCTGAACTGATTTATAAAAAG